ATCCTGTACTTTCCTTAAGTCTTGTTTCAACTTCGACATCTTGGAATAACCAAACTGGACCTCTCTCCTCAGTCTGTCCATTTCCTCTCCAGATTTGAAKGCTTTGTATTCGAGCTCTTGGATCTTCATGTTCTTTCCAGCCAGCTCGATACGTAGCGTTTCAATGTGTTCCACTTGGGAAAGAAAACATAAAAACTTGAGTAAATCATAATACACGTTGTTCCACTAAAGTTAGACATGATTAGAGCTTATGAAGTCAACCCTCGTTATAACGAACGCCTTTGGGAACGTGATGAAGTGTCTGCAATATCGAGTGTCCGCTATAAAGAGAGCTATTGTCAATATAGTCACCTCTCGCTATTACGGACACCCTCGAGACCGTAATTAAGTGTCCGCAGTAGCGAGAGTCCGTAGTAACGAGAGTTACTTTCAGTCATTTCTCTGTATTTTTTGCCGGGGATTCAGTATTTTACTGTCCGCAATATCGAGGTGTCCGTTGTAGCGGGGTGTCCGTAAGGCGAGAGTTGGCTGTAGTTCCTTGTAATAAATATTCATCTACGTGTCCGTAATAGCGAGGTGCCCGTAATAGCGAGGTTTCAGTGATATAAGCATTTTTAAAACAGTTTTCTTACTATGCTCCATGGCTTTCAGTCGATCCACCTCAGTTGTYGCTTCCTTCAGTTTATTCTGAGTCACCAATAAAAATACCATAACATTGTATTGAGTTTTCAATYTCTGTAATTTACAGCTAGTAAACATGAATGCAAGGCGCAACTTACCTCGTTATCTACCGCCTGTTTTTCTAACTCTGCGTTCTTTTTTACTGCTTCATCAATTTCATCTAAAATAATAYGRGAAAGAGTCAASTTTAGAGCAATATGCTCAGCCAAGAAAATCGTAAAGCGTGTGCGATACTATAAGTAAATKTACCTTGCTGGTCATCAATRATTTTTCGTARTCTGTTGACCTGTTTAACCATGTTTTCTTCCTTCGCTAGATATTTCTTTTCAGCTTCGTTAATGGTGCTGTTTTGAWTCACAGATCCATTGAGATTCTATGAAGAAAATGTATAATAAGTGTAAAATACGAAATTTTAGTTTCACTTATGCCTAGCGTCTAGTATGTAATCCCCCCAAAACGCGTTTTCCATGGTTGCTAAGTCCTTTGAGGAAACTAGAATGGCAAAAACGAATGGGTCACGATACCTTGTTTATCCCTGAATCATTCTTTAATTKCTCATTTTTACGGACAGCTTCGTCTATTTCATCTAATACAGAGAAAAATAWAAAAAACAACGATAATAATTGATAAACATGACAGTCTCTTCTGTCCCCGAAATCACAACYAAAACGATTAGTAATCATGGCTTGAACTGAGTTTCGAGCAAAAACTTCATAGTACCTTGTTGYTCATCGATGATCTTTCTCAATCTATTGACTTGCTTGCACATGTTTTCTTCTACTCGCTTTTGCTTCTTTTCGGCCTCTTCAACTTTCTTGCTCTGTTCCTCCATGATTYTAGTCTTGGCCTGGAGAGATTCTTGGAGGTCACTGATGGTCGTTTGTGATTTTTGGACAACTGCTTCCAGCTCTTTGATCTTGACTACTRARCCCTGTACATCCTTAAAGAGGAAAACACATTTTTGAAAGGTGAAAACATTTTAGTCATTATTACCGTGTCCAGGCCCAAGGCCTRCGGCATACCTCAGTTARCTTGTCCGGATTCTGCAGTTGTTCATTCTTTTTCAAAGCTTCGTCTATTTCATCTATTAAAAATACAAGAATTTTAATTAGTAACAATTTAATGTTAGCAGGAGACGGGAATTTTTACTCGTTCATTAGGACCCGAGGCGGTAAACATGTATATATGTATATACCTTGCTGTTCATCGATAATCTTTCTGAGTCTGTTGACTTGTTTGCACATGTTTTCCTCAACTCGTTTTTGCTTCTTCTCGGCTTCTTCAACTTTCTTGCTCTGCTCYTCAAGCTGGCTGGACTTGGCCTGCAAGGAATCTTTGAGGCTCTTGATAGTATTCTGGGATTCTTCGACCGTATTTTCGAGGTCTTTAATCTTTACGGTTGAACTCTGTGGATTGTTGTAATAACGTGCAATTTATTTTAGAGAATTAAGTAATTTTATAAAGAAAAGTTAGWAAAAAACGAATATTTGTTAGTGGTAAAAATTGAAATGTTACCTCGTCGGCTCTTTGCAGTCCTTTATTTAGTTTTCCTAAGAAAAATGAAGCATTGAAATGTTTAGGAAACAAATGATAATTTTCAGACTATAATAAAGCAAGCAGGGAAATCGTGAAAATAATAAATATGTATGTATATAACTGTTTCATTCCCCGAACATGCTATCATCGAGAAAGAGTACCAGACTCCTACTACCCAGTCGTTGTTGACCCTTCATGCATTGCGCGCGGCTCGAAGGAAGCGACTGGGTACGTGTCTGAAAGAGCACTCAAAATCTTCTTTGTTCTTAGCTTCAATTTTGTAACTTTTTGTTCATATATACAAACATTTAATCCCTGTAMTATACCTTGTTGTTCATCGATAATCCTCTGTAATCTTACTATCTCATCGACTAAAACTTGCTGATGTTGCTCCTTCTCCTCTATGAGTCTCTTCTCGTATGCTTGTTSCTGAGCTGTTTCTAATTTGGTTTTGTGTTCATCTAGATTAGCTTGAGTCTGGGCGAGTTGCTCTTGAAGATTTGCTAAAGTGCTTTTAAGGTGGCTATTTTCGTCTTGAGATTCTATTAGAGTTTTCTTCAGTTCACYATGACRTGCTTCTTGSGATTGGACGCGTTGCTGAAGTTCAGAATTGAGATTATTTCGTTCAACTAWGTTTTTATTYAGCTCGTTGATTTTATCTTGAAGTGAGTCAGCTTCTTGCTGATTCGGACTCTCAACAGAAGCCAATCTCTCCTGCAAACARGAAATTTSTTCTTGCTTCGACGTGAGCGCATCATGCCATTCTTTCATTTGTTTTCGCTGTTTTTGAAGCAATTCTTTCTGACCTTCATTAACACCTTCMAGCCTCACAACTTGATCTTGGATATCTTCGAGCTCTGCTTGCTTCGCCATGATGTGTTCTTCAGATTGCTTYTCGTGTAGTTCCAGTGACTCTTTTAGTGACTCCAACTCTTTGCTAAGGCACTCGATCTGCGCCTTTTGCTCCTTGTCCTCGGACGATTGTGTTTCTTSCTGTGACTCCTCGTTTTCGATCCTGTCGCGCAGGGATTGTACTTTCTCTTCGGACTCTTTCATCGCTTCTTGTAGCTCAGCAYTGACAAGCCTTTCATCATCAAGAGCTTTTAACAACTTCTCGTACATAGATTTTCCCTTTTCTAGCTGTTCTTTCAGGTTGTCTCTATCTTCATCCGAAGTATTTATCTCCTCTTCCTGGTCGTTGATAACACGACGCAAGTTTCCTATCAAAACGTCAGAATTTTTCAGCTTAGTACTCAACTCTTCATTSAGTTGTCGGACTGATTCAAGTTCAGTTTGAGTCATGTTTTCGCCTTCAAGATTMTCCTTAATACTCTTTATTTCTTCATCTTTTTCCAGCATTGCAGTTTCCAATTTATTATRTTTTTCCAGAAGCTGTTCCTTGTCGTTTTCCGCGATTTTGAGTTCACTAGTAAGCTTTTCTAAAGACRTTCTCAGTTCTTCTAACTTTTCATCGCCGTCGTCCTTAATACCAATGCTTTCAGAGTTTTGAAGTTTTTCCGATAGCCTTATAATTTCCTTTTCTTGTTCTTTGATAATTTTGGTAAGTTCAACTACTTGGCATTCTAGTGTACTCTCTGCATTCTTTGACTCGGTAAGCTCCTTTTGTAGGCACTCGATCTCACACTGTAGATCTTCAATTTCTTCTGTATTATTCTTGGAAGCATCCTCTTCGTTTTTCTTAGCCATKTCCTCTTTCTCYGTGACGAGATTTTGCATTTCTTCGTGAAGTTTTAATATCTCGTCGTTCAAAGACTCAACCTTGCTTTCATACTCTTCTTTTTCATCCAAAAATGTGTTTTTCTCTTGCCTGTATTCGTCCTCCTTCGTGTTGATACGATTTTCTAGTTCAGCWTTCTCTTGGGTAATTTGATCCCTCGCCGCTGCGACGTCGTTGAGCTGATTTCTCAGTTGCTCATAAGCAGYCGCTAGTTCCTCGGTATCTGCGGCATCAACTTTRYTCTTTTCATCCAGTTTCTCTCCCAGTCTAATRATTTCAGCTTCTTGTTCTTTGATTATGTTTCTCAGTTCACCAATTTTGAACTCTTCCTCCTTCAGCAATYCAGACTTTAGCTCATGTTGCTTTTTTTCCTCGGAAAGTGCTTCTTCGTTTGYTGTGAYAAGGTCTTGTAGTTTGGAATTGTGGCCAGCGAGATTTTCATTTGACCTTTTAACTTCTACCAGTTCGTTTTCCAGCTGCTGAAGTAAAGGAGGCATTTCTTGTAGCTTTTTGAACTCTTCTCCTTTAGACTCTATTAAGTTCTGTAATTCTCTATTTTGACACAAATATTCTTCAGCAGTACGTCGTTCATTTCGCAGCAAGTCTTGCAATTCTTGCAGTGAGGATTCCAATTCTGTAACTTTTTCTTCATTTTGTGAACCACTTTGMTGTGCTGTAGTTTCAACTTTTTCACTGAGSTTGRTGATCTGTGCTTCTTGTTGCTTTATTATTGCTCTGAGTTCAATAACTTCRSCCTCCTTGTGCTCCTGGCTTTCCTTAGCTTGAAGTAKCTCCTTTTGTAGACTTTCTATTTCAAATCCCAAGTCATTAGAACGCTTGATGGTTGCCTCGTCKTCTTCATGCTKCCGTTCTKTGTATAGTTTTACAACCTCATCATTCAAAGATTCCAGCATRGTYTCGTATTGTTCTTTTTCGCTTAGGAAACTCTCCTTTTCTTTTCTAAATTCATCTTCTTTCTCGACAATGATGGTCTGCAGCTCGACATTCTGTTTCAGGATCTCCTCTTTTGTGCTTTCTGCTTCCAAAACCTTGCTCTCCAAGAGTTGAAGAGAACTGGCCATTTCTTTCAATTTTGATTCATTGTCTGGGCCTTCGTTCTTCGGCTGCTGTAAAGCTTTTAGTCTTTCTCCAGTCTTGATAATCTCCTCTTCTTGTTGTTTGATGATTTCTTTAAGCATGAAAACTTGCTGTTCAGATTCAGTTGCCCCGCTTTTCGACTCTGATAATTCTTTCTGTAAACTCTCTATTTCCCATTGTAACTCYTCAATGTACYCATCGCCTTTCYTGGAAGCGTCTTCCAGATCGTTTTCRGAGTCCTTGATGTTTTTGGTTTCCTTTTCTTTGATCAGATTCAAGATTTCATCGTTGAGAGATTCTAATTTCGTTTCGTAATCTTCTTTCTCGTCGAGGAAGGCATCTTTCTCCTTTCTGTGTTCTTCTTCTTTTGTACAGATAACATTTTCTAACTCAGCTTTAAAACTCKTTAACTCATCATTCGTCGCCTTTACATCATCCAACTCRRTCTTTAGCTGATCCAACGACGCGATWAAAACGTCTTTCTCTTTCTTGAATTCGTCCTCTTTTACTTTACATATATTCTCGAGTTCAGATTTTAGTTGTATCAACTCAATATTTGACTCTTTTGCCTCATTTACTTCTTTCTTCGTCTCCTCCAAAGAAGTCAGAAAAGCATTTTTTTCCTCCTTGAATCCCTCCTCTTTGAAAAGGATTGTAGTTTCCAATTCGGTTTTCTGTTTGACGAGATCGTTGTTCAAGGYTTTAACTTCATCAAGCTCTAGCTTCAGGTTTTCCAGTGTATTCACATCGTGGCWATTATCTTCACYTTGAGGTGCGCCTGTAATCGTTCTTACTTCTTCTAACTTAATTATTGTATCTTCTTGCTCTTTTAAAAACCGTTTAAGCTCCTCTACTTGATTCTCTTTTTCTTTATTGCTATTCTTAACTTCAGAAATTTCAAGTTTCATGAATTCAATTTCACTCTGTAGYTCSACGATTTCTTCTTCTTTCTTTCCCACAATTTCTTCCCAATTTTTTCTCGTGTTTTGGTGCTCTTCGAGGCTTTCTCGTGCTTCTCTTATCTCCAGTTCTCTCTCGTCGTATAGGAAGGTTATGTGTTCAAGTTCTTGACACTTCGTTTGCAGCGTTCTGTTAAGGGATGCAATTTCGTTGTTCTGAAAAGAAAAGAAATATCTTTTTTATGATTCAACAACTGAGAACCACTTCGTGGAACATACCGTGTCCAGGTTACGCTAATATATATTTTAACCAGCGCCGCGATCGATTTGATAGATTTTGCGCTTGATCTTTTCACATCATTTTTTGAATATTTTTATCATTCTATTTTTATCATTGCAGCGAGAATCTAGCATTCAGATTGCATTCGCAATATCCTCAGAGAATTTATAAGATGAAAGTTTGCTTTGCATAAAATGATTTCAGGAAGGAAAAAAGAACGTTTTAAAGAAAGAAAGAAAGAAAGAAAGAAAGGAAAAAAATGGGTTAGAAGCTGGTTTATTTTGTTGTAAGTTGTAGTTGTTGAAAGTCAATTGCTTCCCGTTTGGTTCAAAATCAAAGATTTAAGGATACATATGGGCCTTTCTTCTAATGGCTTTTGAGATAATTTCACACACATTATTCTTCTTCGTTCCTTTTTTTCTTTCTTTCTTTATCCATTCAATTAAGTTAAGTACCTCTAAGGCTCCGTCGCTATCACTAGAAAGATTCAAATCGTTTGACTTGAAAGATACATCCTCTTTTATACTGAGATTCGGTCCCATCGACAGGCGTGACTTTAGCCTTTTATTCTCATTTTTCAATTCATCCATTTTTTCCATTTCYGTCTCCTGAATATTCGAMGACATTCGAAGCTCATCGTACTTATAAGACAGGTCTTCAAATTGGACTTTAACGGTGCTTAATTCTTCTTTGGTTTTTTCGAGTTTTTGYGCTTCTGATAAAATCTGTTGYTGTAAATACTGGATTTCCGTTGCYGCYTGTTCTGCGCTTTTCTGGTTCTCTAAAACCAGATCATCATAAATTGTTGTCTTCTTCTTCAAACGTCCTTGAAGCTCTTGGATGTCTTGTTTTAAGCCCATCACGATATCTTCGCTTCCACTAATGATGGCCYTCTCTCTCTCGTCCAGGCGGGCCTCTAGGTCTGATATTTTGGCGCCTTTCTTGTTGAGAGCATCTCTCTGTTGTATATTTTCCTCGGTGATTTCATCGATGTAAGTTTTAAGCTCGTTAATTTGTTGGTTTAAAGCTTCAATTTTGAGGTTGAATTCTTCGGTGCTGTCATTTGATTGAATGAGTTGAGCTTTTAGTTCGTCTCGTTCGGTTGTCAATTCGGCGTTTTTGCTCTCTGCGTCTTTGAGCTGAAAAAGAAATGGACTGGTTGATTGATGGATGGATGGATGGATTGACTGATTGATTGATTAATTAATTGATTGATTAATTAATTGATTGATTTGATTGATTGATTGATTATTTGGTAAATAGTCTTGGATTCAATGAATCAACTTACCTTCTCGGTAAGTTCTTGCTGTCTTTGTTCAAACTGATCTTGAAATCTTGAAATCCTTTCCTGACTTTCCGTAAATGCTTGTTTTTGGATAGCGATTGACTGCAATTCAGTAATCAGAAATGAGTTCTGTCCCGCTATTTTCTAGCTATAGCTAGTCAACGGGGACGYGTACTACTCCATATTTAAGTTCTGGAGAAGTGGTTCTTTAAAAACSTTTCTATAATTCATATTCAGACAACATCAAACTCAAGTAAAGGAAAAGGCATCAAAGGAGCATTCACTTACATCATTGATGGCTTCTTCAAGGTCTATTTGTAAATGTTCTTTCTCCGTATTGGCACTGAAARCGACAATAAAACATAATTTCAATACGATAACCAAACCTCATTTCAGACGCTGATTCTCACAGTGATGATTACAATGAATTGAGAATAGACAATAAAGTATATGGTAACCCATTAAAATCCTCCATTTGAAACGAACTTTCAAATGTTAAGGTAGCATTTTACACAGATACTGTAAGTGTTTCTCATGCTGGCCAGAAACACGTAATATTTTACATAGCAAACGTATAACTGACTGACAACGGGTCATGGAACTATACAATCTCGTTAACTTACACAATCAATTGTTTCTTTAAAATTTCGTTTTCTTTTTGGACCTTTTCCAACATAGCTTTAAACTCGACGTCCTACAAGAAAACGTTGTAATACTATACATACAATGATACATAGAGGATATTACATGGGCGCGCGGAGATACGGATTTTATCTTCGAATTTTGAAAAGATCTCTCACGAGTGAGCGTAGCGAAAATTCGTATCTACAAGCGACCATGTAATATCCTGTTTATCATATAATTACATATGAAAACAAATTATGTCGTAAAATAGCTTTTTTCTTACTTCCACTATATAGAGAAACACTATAAGTGAAAATATCAATTTTATGAAATGGAAAAATATAGGTATTTCATAGATAATTATATGTGTCTTATGTGATAAATAGTATGATTGCATATTACTAAATACACAATTGTGCACTCCGTATGCCAAGTAAAAAAGAAACAAAATCGTGTACAGCCAAAACGAAAAGATTTCAGTTGTTTTACAACTTACAGGAGACTTCATAGTGTCCGCAGTGTCTTCRCAATCTTCGCTAATAGTCCTCATTGAGATGTCATCCATAGAAAAGACWGAYTGGGCAACTTCTGCTGCCGATGCTAGCGGGTTTTTGGACAACATGGCGCCTGGACACCATGTTTCTCTTCGCGTATTTCTCTGAATGAAGCAAAATTCAGTTATCAAAGACAAWGTTATTCTATTATTTCTACAGTATCATTGAACGTTGTCAACTAAGGTACACTTAACACGAAAAGCCGTGTGCAACAATCAATAACAASCATTTTCCTTYGCGCGATTTCGTTTTTCTGCACGGACGRAAAYGCCTTCACCGCCGGCCGTGTCAACATKCGTGGTGTTAAAATACATCCGAGCTGTACAGTACCACAAAAACACTTAAATCATGCGAGATTTTACTGTTTTCCTAGAGTGGAACAACCAAAAGCGTGAAATA